GTTTTAAGGACGAGTTTGAAAATCTTAAAAGCACGTTTACTACTATCCAAGCTGTGCTTGAAGATGCTCAGGAGAAGCAACTCAAGGACAAGCAGCTAGAAAATTGGTTACAGAAACTCAATGTTGCTGCATATGAAGTTGATGACATCTTGGATGAATGTAAAACTAAGGCAGCAAGACTCAACCAGACTAAATATGGATGTTATCATCCAAAGGTTATCACTTTCCGTCACAAGGTCGGGAAAAGGATGAAAGAGATGATGGAGAAACTAGATGCAATTGCTGCAGAACGAAGTAAGTTTCTTTTGGAGAAAAGGACTATAGAGAGAGAAGCTGCTAGACGAGAAACAGGTGCTCATCTTACATATATTTTATACAATTTAATTAGTGTATATTCATTTTTTTGGCAATTATCAAATTCATGTGTGTTTATGAGCCGAGGGAAAATTCCAAAGATTGTTTTTCTAATCTAATGTTTGTCTAAAGTCTAAACAGAGGTGGATCCAGATTCAGATTCGTAATTCTACCACTTCCATGGTGTAAGCCAAAAGATATGGGCTTAGATAAATCCATAACTTACTCATAGGATAGCCCCTAAGTCCAATTAAAAAAAAGCTTGAGTTGTTTTAGACTGTACTTAACTTGTGTGCCAATTTTCAAAGCATTTTTCTCTTTGAAAATAAATATAGAAAAAATGGAGAACACTTCAAAAATATATTTTCTCAATCATGTTCTTCAACTCCCCCATTCTCATGTCTGCTGCACCTCAATATTTTCTGTTTTTTGCTGACTCCTACCAAGCGTGAGTGTAACAATATTCTCGTATGGACATTACTTGGAACAGGTTTTGTTTCAACTGAGCAAAAAGTTTATGGAAGGGACAAAGAGGAAGATGAGATAGTGAAAATTCTGATAAACAACATTAGTGATGCCCAAGAACTTTCAGTCCTCCCTATACTTGGTATGGGGAGACTAGGAAAGACGATTCTTGCCCAAATGGTCTTCAATGATCGGAGAGTAACTGAGCATTTTCAAGAAGATTGTTGGTTGTTGTTCATGCAACGTGCATTTGGGCACCACGAAAAAATAAATCCTGACCTTGTGGCTATTGGAAAAGAGATTGTGAAAAAATGTGGTGGTGTTCCTCTAGCAGCCAAGACTCTTGGAGGTATTTTGCACTTCAAGAGAGAAGAAAGAGAATGGGAACATGTGAGAGATAGTGAGATTTGGAATTTGCCTCAGGATGAAAGTACTATTTTGCCTGTCCTGAGACTGAGTTATCATCACCTTCCACTTGATTTGAGACAATGTTTTGCATATTGTGCAGTATTCCCAAAGGACACCGAAATGGAAAAAGAAAAGTTAATTTCTCTCTGGATGGCACACGGGTTTCTTTCATCTAAAGGAAACTTGGTGTTAGAGGATGTGGGTAGTGACGTATGGAACAAATTATACTTGAGGTCTTTCTGGTAATGCTTATTTCAAGATGTATGATCTCATCCATGATTTGGCAACTTCTCTGTTTTCAGCAAGCGCATCAAGCAGCAATATCCACGAAATAAATGCAAAAAGTTACACACATAAGATGTCCATTGGTTTTGCTGAAGTGGTGTCTTCTTACTCTCCTTCCCTCTTGAAAAGGTGTGTCTCGTTAAGGGTGCTTAATCTAAGTAGATCAAAACTTGGCCAATTACACTCTTCCATTGGGGATCTGGTACATTTAAGATACCTGGACCTGTCTCACAATATATTTCGTAGTCTTCCAGAGAATTTATGCAAACTTCAAAATCTGCAGACTCTTAATCTACAGTATTGCGTCTTACTTTCTTGTTTGACAAAACAAACAAATTAACTTAGTAGTCTCCGAAATCTTTTAGTTGATGGCTGTCCATTGACTTGTACACCACCAAGGATAGGATCTTTGACATGCCTTAAGACTCTAAGTCGCTTTGTTGTGGGAAGGAAGAAAGGTTGTCAACTTGGGGAACTACGAAACCTGAATCTCTATGGCTCAATTGAAATCAAACATCTTGAGAGAGTGAAGAATGATAAGGATGCAAAAGAAGCCAATTTATCTGCAAAAGGGAATCTGCATTCTTTAATCATGAGTTGGGATAAATATGAGCCACATAGATATGAATCAGAAGAAGCTAAAGTGCTTGGAGCCCTCAAACCACTCGCCAATCTGACTTCTTTAACAATCATTGGCTTCAGAGGATTCCATCTCTGAGAAAACTTAGTATATCCTATTTTCGTAATCTGAAAGGATTGCTGAAAAAGGAAGGAGAAGAGCAATTCCCGGTTCTTGAAGAGATAAAGATTTACGGATGCCCTATGTTTGTTTTCCCGATCCTCTCTTCTGTCAAGAAATTGGCTATTCATAAGGAGGCAGATGCAACAGGTTTCAGGTCAATATCTAATCTTACCACTCTTACTTCCCTCTACATGTACACTAACTATGAAGCTACTTCACTCCCAGAAGGGATGTTCAAAAGCCTTGCAAATCTCAAATACTTGAAAATATCTTACTACTACAATCTCAAAGAGTTACCCAGCAGCCTGACTAGTCTAAATGCTTTGGAGCATCTGGGAATTGATTGTTGTGGCGCACTAGAGTGTCTCTCAGAGGAAGGGCTGGAAGGTTTAACTTCACTCAGGGGAGTTATCTCTCCAGAAATGCAAGATACTAAAATGTTTACCCGAGGGATTGCAGCACCTAACAGCCCTCACAACTTTAATAATTTCTCAATGTCCAATAGTGTTCAAGCGGTGTGAGAAGGGAATAGGAGAAGACTGGCACAAAATTACTCACAATCCTAGTGTGAATATATATAATTAAGTTATTTGCTATTGTTTCTTTGTTTGTGAGTCTCCCATATATACTGGTCCTCCCATATTTGTATTATACTCCTTCATAATGTAAAATCCATTCACTCTACTTGCTGCTGTTTGGTTAAAGTAGTTTTTTTGTTGTTGTTAAAGACGTACCAACTGAGGGTTGTTACAAGAAGTATTCCTCACCTACTGGAATGGAACAAGCTCCATATAGTAGAATTTCATCAAAGGCTTGCATCAAGCTCTTTATTCGCTGGATTCAAGCTGATCTAAATGGACAAGATTGTCGAAAAGTCTAAATTCTTGTACAGGTAATTCATACTCCTCTTTATTTCCACGGATTCCTAGTTTTTGAACATTCTGAATCCCTGAATAACCTCCTCTGTGTGACATGCCAGAAATTTCGGAAAAACCTTTTCAGTTTGATATGCCTTAATTGCATCATTTCCCAAATTTGTTCAGGAAAAATTGAAGATTTTTCATTATGTTTAGCAATGAATGTTTGTGATTGTAACTCAATTCAAGCACATTTTGAACATTGTGACAAATGATATGACATCTTTAGCAACATTTTTGGAATGTTAACTTACCAATGGCAATTCTTGACATTTGTCTACAATTTGCTTCCCAATAGTCTCGAATTCAGATGTTAATGCTTCATTTGCAAATTAACTACTTTCGAAAAGGCTCCAACTCTCGTCTGGATCCATGAATCTCATATACAAAAATAGATTCTTTGTCACGGAAGAAAGAGGAGAGTTTGACCCTATTTAAAATTTGGCTCATCTATGCATTGAGAAAAGGCTTATCCATGTCTTTATTTGTCAACCTAAAAAAATTTTAAGTTTTGCAAAACTATTTTCTACACGTTGGCCACGTCATTAATTAATTTTATTTTTTTAAAAAAAGGCTCAAATATGTCATTGAACTTTGAGAAAAAACTTATATATGTTATTCATTTAAAGTTTGACTTATCAATATCCATTTCAATTAACAAATACTGACATAAATTGGTCTTTTGTCCATATTTTAACGAAGATTAAATATCACACAGTTGAAGACTATATTTGCCCTTTGCCCATTAATTAATTAGGAAAGAGGAAACTGCCAGCCAAAGAGGAAGAAAATGGGAGAATTAAGTACATATTTGTGTCGCATAAAATTCATTAATATTAAAAAGTTATATTTAAACTTTCATTCTTATAGCATGCATTGCGAGAAGAGGGAATTAAGTTGATATAGTGAGACAATACCGTTGAGGTTTTACTTTACAATAAAAATAAAATAAAATAAAACACATAATTTAATCGAATAGAGATTATCAAATAGTGACGAAGAAATAATTTTTAAAAAAGAATACGTGTATGCAACGTTGAAGATGTAAGAAAAAGACCAAGAGTTGAATTATTTTTTTACAACACTAATACAATTTATTCCTATTATTGCAATATTATTGTGGTTGTTATAAAAATAATATAGTGTGGATGTCCACTACACCAAGAAGTTACTATACATTTCTTTCCTCCATTATGAAAATAATCATAACCTCCACCTTTAAAACCATTATTCTTGTAACCTTTCATTTTCATAACCTCCCCCATTATATTCATGTTAATGTCATGACTAACCTTTTGTATGCCTCTATGTTACACTATAAATAGAGGCATAAGGGTTCATATTGTATACACTTGAATACTTTGAAGAATAAGAAATACTCTCATATCTTATCTCTATATTTCTATTGCTTTCATCTTCTATATTTCTTGTCTTCATTTGCTTTAGTTTTACAACAGTGGTAATTATTATACATGTCTCAAATAGGTTTTATAAGTGTCACTAGATATAGGAATCCGTGCTAGCACGGGGCCCAATATATATATTTTTTAATTTTAATTTATGTTATATTATGAAATTTGAGAAGTTATTGAAAATTTGATATGATTTTAAAAATATTTTAAATTGTTAGCTATTGTGATTGTAGTACTATAAATATATTGGATATTAGTAGTGATTTATAGTGTAGTAATTAATATATAATATGTAGTATTGAAGTGGAAGGTGGTGGGGCCCACTTATATATTTAAGAAATATATTGGATATTAGTAGTGATTTATAGTGTAGTAATTAATATATAATATGTAGTATTGAAGTGGAAGGTGGTGGGGCCCACTTATATATTTAAGAAATATATTGGATATTAGTAGTGATTTATAGTGTAGTAATTAATATATAATATGTAGTATTGAAGTGGAAGGTGGTGGGGCCCACTTATATATTTAAGAAATATATTGGATATTAGTAGTGATTTATAGTGTAGTAATTAATATATAATATGTAGTATTGAAGTGGAAGGTGGTGGGGCCCACTTATATATTTAAGAAATATATTGGATATTAGTAGTGATTTATAGTGTAGTAATTAATATATAATATGTAGTATTGAAGTGGAAGGTGGTGGGGCCCACTTATATATTTAAGAAATATATTGGATATTAGTAGTGATTTATAGTGTAGTAATTAATATATAATATGTAGTATTGAAGTGGAAGGTGGTGGGGCCCACTTATATATTTAAGAAATATATTGGATATTAGTAGTGATTTATAGTGTAGTAATTAATATATAATATGTAGTATTGAAGTGGAAGGTGGTGGGGCCCACTTATATATTTAAGAAATATATTGGATATTAGTAGTGATTTATAGTGTAGTAATTAATATATAATATGTAGTATTGAAGTGGAAGGTGGTGGGGCCCACTTATATATTTAAGAAATATATTGGATATTAGTAGTGATTTATAGTGTAGTAATTAATATATAATATGTAGTATTTAAGTGTCATATTATGGAATTTGAGAAGTTATTTTTAAAAATATTTTAAATTGTTAGCTTTGTGGTACTTTTTTTTTTTACATAATTTTGAAAATAATATTTATTAGTGTGTTTGTTGTAATTTATGTGGCACACGCAGAATTTCAAATATTAACCATTTTTTATATCTCTCTTTAATATATTAAGTTGTTAATTATTGTATTTTATAGTACATTTTGAACCTAATTTTTTAATAATATATGTTATTTGCCATGTCCCAATTTATGTGGCATTAATTGATAGATTTGTTGGAGTCGAGAAAATTTATTTTGTTAATTATTGTAATTTATAGTTCTTTTTCGTCAATTTCAAACAATATATGTTGTTAATTGATAGATCTTTTGGAGTGGATCTTTTTAAAAAAAATATGTGTGACTGTCCATGTCCCAATTTATGTGGCACATGTAAAGTTTTGACAATTAACCAAAATTTTAATACATTTAAAAAAATATTTTTAAGTCGTTAAATTTTAAGTAATAAGTAATTTAAATTGTTGTATTATTTATTACAATTTATAATGCTTTTAAAGTAGTTTAAATATTGTACTATTTATTATGATTTATAACACTTTTTTTTAAAATTTATGTCATATTATGGAATTTGAGAAGTTATTGAAATTTTTATATGATTTTAAAAATATTTTAAATTGTTAGCTATTGTGATTTGTAGTACTTTTTTTAACATAATTTTGAAAATAATATTTATTAATCTATTTGTTCTAATTTATGTGGCACATGCAGAATTTCAAATATTAACCATTTTTTATATGTCTCTTTAATATATTAAGTTGTTAATTATTGTATTTTATAGTACATTTTGAACCTAATTTTTTAATAATATATGTTATTTGCCATGTCCCAATTTATGTGGCATTAATTGATAGATTTGTTGGAGTCGAGAGATTTATTTTGTTAATTATTGTAATTTATAGTTTCTTTTTCGTCAATTTCAAACAATATATGTTTATCATATAATCCATTTTATGTGGTACCAATAGAATTTAGAGAGTCAATTAAATTTTGTATATAAGTTTTAAATAATTAAGCTGTTAATTATTGTAATGTATAGTATTACTTATATTATTTTTAAATATATTTAAATATTATATGTTAGGTTTTTTATCCTAATTTATATGGCATTGATAGAATTTAAAGTGTCAAATAATTGTTAATTATTGTAATAGATAATATGGAGTATTTAAGTCATTTATAGTATAGTAATTAATATATAATATGTAGTATTTGAGTGGAAGGTGGTGGGGCGCACTTACATATTTTAGAAATATATTGGATATTAGTAGTGATTTATAGTATAGTAATTAATATATAATATGTAGTATTGAAGTGGAAGGTGGTGGGGCCCACTTATATATTTTATAAATATATTGGACATTAGTAGTGATCTTATTGGAACATTGGTAGTCATTCCTAGACTCTTCTATAATATAGTAATATATATATATTATAAATATACATTTATTTGTCCTATCACAGCACTCGTACCGCACTCGAATCCTTTCTTTTCAATCCTAAATTTATGTGATGAACAATTCAACCCTAAATTTATGTGATGAACAATTCAATCCTAAATGAATGGTGGTGTGAAATCCGAACAACGTAAGTGTCTAGTCATGTTTACCTTCCCTTCCCCGACTTTGAAGTTACTCTTGGAGTTGTAGGTGACATCTTGATCAATTGAATCTTTGTTCCAGTGCAATTCCTGTTAATTATACCTGAAAAGAATATAAAAATCAACTAATAAAAGGTTTCCAAATCAATAAATTGAATCTTTAAAACCAAACAGGTTTACATTTTACACAGGTTGCAGACCCACAAACAAAAATGGAACAAGAAACCTAGGCATATGCATCAAGTGTGTATATATATGCACACACATATGTAAAAAGAGTTGTAGCGTATTATCATCAATAGTTAAGCAACCCACTTTAGCATACAAATTAATTGATAGTAAAGACGGATACCCAGTTTGAGCACAAAAGAGACGAAGAGGTATAAGGAAGATGAATACCCAAATTGAGCTTGATTAAGATTTGGGTAACAAGTGTAAGAAGATGAAGAGAATTGAAACAATGGTATGAAATTGAGGAGATGTTGCGTTTTTTTTTTTTTTTTTTGTTTCTGCTTGGAATGGTGGAGAAGAATACAGACGATTCTAGAAATTGGATGTCAACGTAAAATTACCAAACTACCCTTGGTCGTCCTGGTCGTATTCACCTTTCTATATAATAGAAATTTGAAGGAGTTATAAATTTGAATATTAAATTATTTGAAGGTTATGAATATGAAAGTTAGAAGTTATAGATATTACTAAATTAAATAATATTTAAATTTATGTAATTGAAAAGGTATGAATTAAGAAGATGATGTTATAAAATAAAGTAATTGAAAAAAATAGAAAAAAAGTAAAAAAAAAAACACAA